AAATTTTCATTATTAATTGACAATACATCGTCAATATACCTAAATGTCGAGTTGAAGGCCACAGCAAGCGTTTTCTTCTTTTCACGCATAAGATTTTGCATAAATTCTGCTTCATATGAATATAAAAATAAGTCTGCTAATAACGGAGCGCAATTTGTACCCATGGGAATTCCAATAGATTGTTGGAATACCTGATCTCCAAAAACTCAAGCATCTTCTTGATGTCAACTTCAGAGTACTTATGTGTGCAATCAGAATCCGTTTTAACAAAATAATTTTTCTAATGACCAATGACGAGGTAAGTAAATTTACGATTTCCATTTTTGTTGAAGAAGCATCTGTCAATGATATCAAAAAGCCTGGATTTTAATTTGTCGTGGGGAATCGTTGTGTATAAAGTTGAAAAGTCGTAAGTTTTTAAGCTGTTGATTTTTGTAAAGTCTTGTGATTTCAAATTGTCCAAAAGTTCTTTAGAATTTTTAAGTATCCACATCTGATTTACACCACTTCTTGAGTATATAGTTGCACAGTACTCTTGAAGTTTTTCCTTCACTACTGTCAATATTTTAGTGAGAAGTAACGAAAGAGGCTTGGTTGAACATTTACTGGAACCTGCAATGTATCTTTGTTTGTAAGGATTCTTATGAAGTTTCGGAATCCAATATATATAAGGTAGTTCAAATTCATTTTGGCTCTGTGGAATATTAAAAGTATTCAAAACTGACAGGTGATTTTGAAGAATTTCTTCCTTAGAAAGAGAAGCATGAGTATAAGTAGGGTTACCACTTGTAGAATTAAATCCAAGTTCTTCTAGATTGCAATTTATATAATGAACCTTACAAACGAAGACAATGTTGTTACCTGCTTTGTCGGCAGGAACCAGTACGTACTGATCGTGTAATCTATTTAATTCTTTTTTCACTTCTGGTTTATTGAACACAGAAGGATAGATTGTTTCATTTTGCCCCTCAATCTTTTGATACGTGATTTTAACATGGATCTGATACATTTAATCCACTCTGACAAGGTGTCAATGTCTTCTTTTTCATATTTGGTTAAATCAGATATAATGCTGTAAATTGTTATATATTAAAATTTCAGAAATTCAGAGAGTAAAATATTTCTTTCTTGAAGGCTTACATATAATTTACGCAAACAGTGTATTCATGTTTAATAAATAATGATGGTAATGGATGCCTAACTGATTTTTAATGTGTCCTTGTCCGTTAATTAATGACCCCAAATTGGTTCAGCTTCCTAATCCATTGTTTTTCAAGGGTTTTTTAATTTTAAGGGCATGATTCTCATTTAACCAAGAGTATCTTATCCTAAGCAAATACCGGTTTCATCGAGCAAATTTTGCACACTTTCTAAGCAAGGTCATCTACATAGTAAAACTTCCTCTCATATGTATTTTATCTTATTTTCTACTATGTTTATATTACAAATCATGCAAAGGTCAGAGAAGCCACGATCATTATTCTAAAAGAATACCATAAGTGCCATAAAAATATAAAAAAAAAAACTAGAGCCGAGCTCGTTGCAAAGCAACGAGTAGGTCTTCCGTCCTGTTTTACCGGAAGTAACTTTTATTTGAAAAAAAAAGAGTAATGAAGTCGAAAAATGGTTTAATCCTCCAAATCTATGTTCATTTTTGCAAAATCAAGCAATTTTTGGCAACTTCCGGTTTGACCGGTAGTACCGTCAACGGACGGAAAATTAAGATTTAAGCTTCTTGTGACATATGATATCCAAAAACCTGTAAAGAACAACAAAAATATGCAATTTTTGACTACTTCCGATTCGACCAGAAATGACGTCTCCGGACGTATTTTGACAACCTCATTAGATAAAGCTTGACATTTTGAACAACTTTGCTTATTTGACGTATTATAAATTCTCAATACTTTTTGAGATATTAAACAAAAACTTTCAAGGGCCCTAGATCCCTAATTTTAGGGGCCAGCCCCTTTTTAATGATATCAAATGAAAGCGCTTGTAATTATGCACAACTTTTATTCAACATGTCTTAACAAAATATTTTTTGTTTTCACGATAAAAAGGAAAATATCTGTAAATTTTCGCTCTTTTAGGGGTTCTAATTTTTGACCCCTATATAGCGCCATTTTTAATGCAGAAATCGAAAACAAAAACCGATCTGCATAACTTCAATCCTTCTGTTATCTAAAGCAAGTAAAATTTCTGCTCCAGCTTTTGTGGTCTCTGATCCTTTATCCGGAAACGAAAGCCTATGATTTTTCGTTTAAAGGGGAATAACTAAAAACCGGAAGTGACTTTTTGAAATCTTAGTCATTATTCTGATAGAGTTTATAAACGTTTATAACCTCTGAAGATTTTAGCGAAATCGGTTGAGAAATGTGTGAGATATGAGGCCTCAAAGTTGGCGTCTAGGAAGTAGAAGAAGAAAAAAGAATAACTAATAATCTTTACCAACAGAATCAGTAGAAGGTCTTCCGTTGGAAACGGAAGACCTTAAAAACTTTAGATGGCGTTTCTCTAATTTTTACTTCTTCACTATTAAAAAAAGTATTAACATCTTTAGATTATAATGCAAATAGATGGATGAAGTTTTTATTGGCGGGTTAGATTAATTCCGAGAATGAAGAAACGCATACAATAAACCTCCCACCACTACCCTCACCCCCACCCTTCACTATAGAAATCTTGAAAAACTTGAAAAAGTATTTCTAAGTAATAAAACTTTGTTTTGAAAATATTGTTTAAATACTTTCTCTTCACCGAATCAACTCTATAATTTAAAGGGGGTTACAGTTTTTTTTTTTTTGATGGAAGGTCCATGTAATACTTAACAATTTAAATTTCTTCAATGATTTAGAGTTTTAGAATGTTAATATATTAGTTCAAATTTCTAAATTTCAAAAACTCAAACTGCTTTGGTAAATTTAGATATATATTAAGAAATTTAATATTCTAGTTCAAAAATCTAACTTTTTAAATTTCCAAACTGTTGTAAAATTTTAATATTTTAGATTTTTTCCCCAAAATCTACAAAATTCAAATTTCCAAAAACGAATTTTGTATTTTAATTATTTGAGGTTTTAATCTACCCCTCATTCAGAAAGTTTTACGCTTATCAATCTAAAGTTAAGTAACATTTTTCGTCTTTTTATTATTTAGAATTCACTTCAAACTTCGAAATCTCAACTTTCAAAACGTTTTGATTCTTTTTTAAATTTGATGTTTTGATTTAAACATGCAAATTCAAATAGACAAAACACTTTTGAGTTTTTAGAATTTTAAATCAGATATCAAATTCCAAACCAAGTTTGAATTTTGAATGAATGCCAAAAGTTCTTGTAGTGAAAAAAAGGATTTAGATACCGTATAAGTGGAAATTTTAGCGAGACGCAAATTTAGCGATTTCTCCTTAAAAACTGGTATTTTATTTTTAGCGAGAAGTAATTTTAGCGATTTTAAAATGCTCACTTAAGAAGCTAGTACAAATAACACGCAATTTATTTTTAGCGATATTCAATTTTAGCGATCTCAACAGCCTCGCTAATAATGCCAAAATTAAATCCTCGCTAAAATTTCTACTTATACGGTATTCAGAATATTGAATTGATACATTAATAGTTTCAAAATTCAGATATGGTTTGGAAATTTGATATGTTGGATATTTGAAGTAAAAATCTACAAAAAAAAAATTTAAAGTGCTTTGGTTATGTAAAATTTGAATGTTTGAACCAAAATTCTAAATTTCTTAAAATCTAAAACGTTTGAAAGATGAAATTTACAAGTTTGAAGTAAACTTTAAAATTCTAAAAGACGTAAAACAATACTGAACTTTAGATTGTTAAGCGTAAACTTTCTGAGACTAAAAACTCAAAAGTTTGAAGAACAAAAAATCTTTGTTGGAAATTTGAATTTTGAACATTTAAGGTAAGAATCTAAAGACTCAAAATGCAACACCTGTTTGGAAATTTGAAAATTTAGATTTTTGAACTAAAATATTAAATTTCAATATACCAAATCAGTTTCAGTTTTTGAAAGTTTGAAATTTGAACTCATATACATGTATTAACATTCTAAAAGTCTACATCATTTTAGAAATTGGAATTGTTAATTGTTACACGGACCATGAAGGGATGATAATTATTTTCACGCTAGTAACGCCAGTAACGATCTACGAGATATTCGACAACAGGTTATTTTGTTTAATTAAAAATATTTAAACAAGAAAAAGAAATTAAATACAATGAATAAATAAACAAAGGGGAAACCCCAGGCGCGACAACTCTTTCATGCTGGTTGTAGGGTGGTTTGGGGTGTCTCTATTTTTTTTTGGTTATAGTTGTCTCTATAAGATGAATAATAAAAGTATATGATTCCCGGGGAAAATGTTACTTATCATTTAGGAAAATAGCAAATCAGGCGATATAAAACGTATCTATTGTAGGTAATCAGAGATGAATTCTAGTTTTTCACATGCCTATGATTTGTATTTGAGGAGGGGATTGTAATCTGGACTTTAAACCTCCATTTGATAAAGGATGATATAAATGATAAGATATGTTTGTTTTGGATCACAACATAAAATATGTTGGAACGCGTGGTTTTTCGTTATCAACAAAGGAAGGATAGGGTACTATCCCTTGCCAACTAGTCGCACACACCATGTGTTCCTCATTGTAAATAGTTTTGTTTTAATGAATTGAATAAAGTGCTTTCACCTTTGCTTTTAAGGGATATTTTTCAGAATTTCTTCCATGTATCTATGTATTGACAAACTATATAAATACTCTCTTGTTTAGCCTTTTGTATATAAATGCATATTAAATTCTGCAGTTTGAAAGACTTTATACTACACTGATCAAGAAGGTCTTTATCTTCAAGTAATTTATAACGATCTTTTTTTCTAAAGTTTGGAGTTTGTATATGAAGGAAAATTTGGGTTTTTCCAATTACATCAGGTTTGTATTATTACAACATTTCTCGTGTTTATTGGAAGTGTTACTCATCGCTTATTTTGTTTCATACAGAAACTTTCTTACCCGTTATCAATTTTATCTTTTCAGATCTATTTAAATAATCTGGAAAGGTTCAGAAAAGTCTAAACTGCACTCTAAACAACAGGTAAGAGTCCAACACTTTTCTTCCTTATATATATATTTTATTATTCGTGTCGTTGGGCATTTTTAGTGCTTTATATAATCTATATTAATATTACTTCACTTGAGACAGTTACGTTAGTTTAAGAGTTGTAAAAATGTGCTTTATAAATAATGATTAATTTCATTACAACGTGTATTGGTAACAATCCTCTGTTAAAACGAATATTAAAATAACTGTATCTCACTTCTATTTTCAATGTCCATGTAGTGTAGGACAGCGCCATGAGAATTGGCATCGAAATCAAGTTTTTTGACTTGCCTAGATAGCCGAGCGGTCTAGCGCGCTGTTTCTGTACAACTAGGAGACAGATTCTGAAGGTAGAGAGTTCAACCCGGGCTGGGGCGGAAGTGCACCTTGTCATAACGCAGAAACATTTTTAGACAACTCAGAGTAAAACAATAGCCTAAAAATTGTTTGAAAAAATTGTCAGACAACATTTAACTTAATATTTTCTGAAAACTCTTGTTTCAACACAAAATTGCAATATGTTCACATTTAACGAGACTGTTGACATTTTTCTTAAGATCGGCTAATTTCTCAATAGTGTGGTGGTCCTTAACTGCACTCTAAACAACATAGTGGGCACGAATTACTCTGCTACCTCCGATCACATGGTATACGTCACAGCACCTGTTGTGACGTATACCCATCCTCGCTCTCTTTTGTGTTACAAGCTGCAGAGAACGGATGTGTCTCTGTTAGCTCCGTCATTATTGTATTTCATATGTAATAACCGCGGGCACTAATAATCATCAATTTTATCATAGTGTGTTCTCTATTCCACCATCACAGTAGATAATATAGAGAAACGCTATACTAACTTAAATCGTTTTAGAAATGAAAAGGATTCTCTTGAGTTTCGAGCCTTTGGGGATCTGCATAATATACAGTCGATAAAGCTTTTATTATACCCCCCGCTTGAAAAGCGGGAGGGTATATAGTAATCGTTAATTCCGTCCGTCCGTCTGTTACGCTTTGGGGTACCCATCTCTTATCCGCAACTCCTCTCATACCACTGAATGAAATTTGATGCAACATTCACAGAATCTTTATTACATATTGCCATTGTGCACCTCCTATTTTACTTTTTGATCCGACACATATTTTGGGTTTCCCGGCCACAGGAAAACATGGACTTTTTCACCAGTTATAACCATAGGGGAGGCGGGGGGTATCATTTAGTGAGCTCATCGCTCACAGCACCTCTAGTCTTATCACAGATGGCATCAAATTTTCTTCTTATATTTCCATTTATGCCATTTCTAGTAATGTATCCAAATATGAAACAAATGTGTCAAGCTGCGTGATTTCATTTATTTCGAATTAAAAAGATATATCGAACCAACTTAGGAATGAAAATAATTTTTTTTATCAAAGAAATGTCCATATATTTAGCGGTTTACATATTTTTAACTTTCCGTCGGATGTGACATTAAATGGTGTCCCGTGTCAAGGATAACAAACCCTTGGCACGCCAAAAACCGTTTCTCTGATTTGGCTCACTGGGAGCCGCTAGAGAAACTAAAAATTTTCAAAACCAATTCTCCCGCCGAGATATGGCTGAAATATTGCCGACTCGTCGTTAAACAGTAATCACTCAAACAATAAATCAATCATCGATTATCGATATATCTTAATCTGAAGGCCACAGCAAGATTTTTTTTTTTTTTGTGTTATAAATTTTGCTTTAAATGAACAAAAAAAGAGTTTGCTAATTACGGGATGCAAATCATGAAATCGGCACCAATGGGAATTCCGAGATATTGTTGAATTACTTGCATGTAGCATATTCAATCAAAATGATTTCAATAAAACTGTATTACGAATGATCAATGATAAGGAAAGTAAATTTACGGTTTTTCTTTTTATTAAAAATCAGCGGTCTAAGATGAGAAAAAAAAATGTATTCATTTATCGTGGGGCAGCCCTGCACGATCATTATTTTCCATTTATCATATTAATGCCATTTTTTTGGTATGAAAAAAACTATGGACATTTTTAGATTGTGACGCATATAGGTGGGACAATTGAAGGCTATGTTTCAATGCGAAGTGTAATAACAACGAAAAATGTAATAAATCAGGATTATTACATTTTGCGTTATTACATTTTGGGTCGAAATCAACGCAGAATGTAAAAACACAAAATGTAACAACATACTTAGGATGGTAACATTTTGCGTTATTACATTTTGCGTCGAGATCAACGCAATATGTAATAAATATGTAATAAGATGGTTTTTGGATTATTACATTTTGCGTTTTTTCATTTTGCGTCAAGATTAAGAAAAGGGCAAGACCGCGAAATGTAATAACACACTTTTTGTCAGTCAGGTTGAGTATAATTTTCAACTGAGTAGTTGACGAAGAAAAGGAACGAGAAGAAAAAAAAACAAAAGGAAACTAGAGGTACTGTGAGCAATGAGCTCACTAAATGATACCCCCCGCCTCCCATATGTATAAAATGGCAGTGTCCATGTTTTGCTCTGGAAAATCCAAAATATATGTCAGATCAAAGAGTAAAATAGGAGGTGCACAATGGCAATCTGTACTTAAGATTCTGTAAAAGTTTCATCAAATTTCATTCACTGCATGGTACATGTATGAGAGGAGTTGCGGATAAGAGATAGGTAACCCAAAGCGTAACAGACGGACGGACGGGCGTACAGACGGACGGAATTAACGATTACTAGATACCCTCTGCTTTTCAAGCGGGGGGTACAAAAATACGCTAATTCTTAAAATAGATCGGATTTTAAAATCTATAGAGGGAGCAGGGGGTTGCTGTTTTTGATGTTGGGGCGAGCGATTTGTTGTCCAGTGTGCTTTTGCGTTTCGATTGACAAATGCTATGAATCTAAATACTAGAGGTACTGTGAGCGATGAGCTCACTAAATGATACCCCCGCCTCCCATATGGTTATAACTGGTGAAAAAGTCCATGTTTTCTTGTGGCCGGGAAACCCAAAATATGTGTCGGATCAAAAAGTAAAATAGGAGGTGCACAATGGCAATATGTAATAAAGATTCTGTGAAAGTTGCATCAAATTTCATTCAGTGGTATGAGAGGAGTTGCGGATAAGAGATGGGTACCCCAAAGCGTAACAGACGGACGGTCGGACGCTGCATACACACAGCAAACGGATAATTACTCAATATCTACAAATCAACAATAAACAACTTGTAGATATCTACGCTAATCATAAAATAAAGTTTACTTTAAAAAATATGAAAAGTGAGACAGCAATGTATTTAAAATTTACACATAACTCTATATCTAAGGTCTCACTCTCACTCTACATTTACTCCGGAAAAGTGATTTAAAGAATTAAGTGCAAAAATTACAGATTTCACATTTAATAAAATTAGAATCTTATTACTTATTAGTCTGAATGAATTACTTACCATGCAAGAGGAAGTGTTGGTCTCTATGTCATATGTCAGATATGTAAAATATGTAACCTCAATGACTAAACTATACTTCCATCACCTTCCAAGACCAAGCAAGAATTAACCAAAAACACAAAGAAAACTTGGAAGGAAATACAAAAACCAATAAAAAAAGCATAAGACAACACTAAACAAGATTTTTGACATAACATATAAAACACTATATTTGCAGGATTGTTTCAAATTATATTAATTGTTCTAGATTGATTCAGTAAATATCTATCTCAAAACTCAGTCATAAGCAGAGAAATTGAATTATAATGAATTAAAATAAACGCACTATTTCTCGTGTTTATTACTGTGATATACGCGAGCCAACGACAGAGGTGAATGTATGAGCCGATGGTAGAGAGTGCTGGAAACCTTTTTGAATTGTACGAATTTCACCTGGTCCGAATTAATATTTCTCCGGAAGTAAACAATGGATGATGCGTACGCAGTCGTAATACTACGCAGGAGAGTACTTTGTTTACTAGTGTGTTTTATAATTAATATTTTGAGTTTACGTTTACAAAATTCTTCATTAATTTGATTTAAAAAAAGTTCATATCGCTTTCGTTAGTTTGATAAAGAAAGTTTATATTTTGGTCAACACAATTTCTGTACTCTTTAATATAGCGTAGATGTAATTCATGTGTTATCACCACGGCTTCCTGTTTAAGGGTTCTGACAGTAAACTAATAGACGGGGTCACGTGACCCCGTCTAAAAACCAATGAAACTAAAAGATACAAAATGACCATGGCCAGAATATAATTAGCGCCCTGAGGCTAACTCTGGATCTCTCTGGAAAAGAATAATTTAAAAATCATTTAAACATTAGTATGACATCATCTTTTGTTCTTTTAATGCTTTCTATTTCTTGCAAGGCCCAAAACAGTCCAATAAGTTACCTGAAACTGTCCAATAAGTTTAAAAATCTGTCCATTATTAAAAATAATGGACAGTTTTCAGTTACTTATTGGATGGCTACAGGTAACTTACTAGATTAAGAAAACACAACACAAATAAACACAAATCTATATTTTTTAGGCTATGAATCCAACAGTTTCACAGTGTAATTAAATAATCCATTCCAAGTCACAAAAACTGAAACATTGTAATTATTCCAATAAATGATGAAATGTATATTCCAGCTCACAATGAACATCAAAACTTAAATTTGAAGGAAATATCTCGATCTGAATACTATTAGAATGTTATTTGAACCAACAACACACGAGGGGATATCACTTCTCCTGGCAAGAAACAGTCGCTCCTTAAATTCTTATTTCTCACTAGTACTTTGAATAATTTTTCTCATTTTTCTACAGAAACACATCCATCGTTTTTCTACTACAGGAATGCAAGGGTGTGTTTCAATAGCCTTGTCTACTCATCTCCCGATTTGTTACTGATTTCGGCGAAAAGAAAGCTCATAATTTTGTTGATTTCTTTATCACAACACTTTAACGTACATCAACGTTTGGTACCGTGTAACATTCTCTCTGTCAGTTAAAAAAACACAATAAGTACCCGTTTACATTTCTGCTCTGATTATCCTCTTTTAAATCATCTGAATATTGTTGATTTAATTACGGAAACCTTTCTACGTTCCCTTTGTTTTTCTGCATCCTTGAAAACCCTTGATCACACGTTGAGAAATATTTGAAAAATAAAACGTCCACCTTGAGCTCAAAGTTCATTTTCTTGACAATCCTAGGCTCAAAATATCACAAGAGAGACATACCCGTTATGCATCGCCCTTCATATCTGAAGTTGTTTTGCATCAAAATATGCTTTCTTGGAAGAAGACATGCTTTCAACATTCACAATCACATCAAAATGGTGATTGAATCTCATGCCTTGTGATTAAATATTCTTTAGTCAGTTGTTTAAAAATTGAACTTACCTGTAACTGTCCACTAAGTTCACAATAACAATGAATACAAGTTTCTTTTGACTGTCATAAAACCCTCACCTGAGACAGTCCAATAAGTAGAAAATGCTAACTTAATACAATGGATGAGAAAAAGTTCTAAGAGAGTACATTATGAACACAATGGGGTAAATGTTTTAAGTAGGTTATAGGCCTCAAACTGTCCATTCTGTGAGAAAAAAGAACTATTGTCGGGCCTAACGGCCCTCCAACAGTTCTTTCTTCTCACAGAATGGACAGTTTTTGGCCTATAACCTTTACATACACTTAACTACAGGTTAAATGAATAATTATATAATTCAGCTGTAGAAGTGTGCTGCAAGTAAAAACATATACATAATTAAATTAATGGATAGATGCACATGCAATATGCATTGCTATGCACATGTGCATAATATATAAAAACATGAGTCTGTCACACACACAAGTACATGTACTCTGAAATTGATATGTAAATGTGATTGGTGTAGAAGCATTTAAAATCTGTAATGTTACCCTCAGGGTTAGCAACACACTTGACAACTGGTTATATTACAAAATGTCACATACGTGCAAATCATACAAGTATGTTCATCGTAGAATGCTCAATTCGCCAGTTGTGCAAATGAAAGAGGCGGAATAAACTTGACGAGAATAAAAGCTTGAGTCCGATGTAGCTTACTTTAAGGCAACAAACGACAGATGAAACATGCTTGTGAGTGCAGAAATAACGAAACGTTAGATGATTAAGGACTCTTTGAGTATAAAACAATAAATAGGTCGGGAAATCTTTTTTGAAGCTTTCTCATTTACTACAATAGAAGCTAAGAGTTTGAAAACTTTCTTAATAAGAAGGAAAAGACGATCTATGATTTTTTTTTATCTGACATCCTAAATCATTAAGACATTCAGAATAATAAAAAAAAAAATGGTGCTTGTTTTGAAGGATAAAAGTTTTTGAGAAGTTTTTGAAGAAATTGACACCCAATGGTTTTCCTTGGGGTGTCACTTTTAACTGTTATCCTTCAAAACAAACACCATTATAAAACATAACAGCGGTTGTGACAAGTCAACAGCGAAGCCTTCCTCCAACTAGTCACCTGATCCCACCTTTTGCAAAAATGGAGATCCGTGTTTTAAACCCTATTTACAGATTTTATTTGTAGATTTTTGAGATTTTTAAACTGGAAATTGAACACATTGGCTCAGAAAAGAAATTTTCAGATATATCTTACTAAAAAATTTCTATCTATTTATTAAGAGAAAAAAAATGGTTTTATAAATAGTTTTATTAATTATATCAAACATGTTTATCTGCTGACGGTATATATATAATATGTTATCAATCTCCCAAAGGAGATATTTAGCCCCCTTTAAGCTTACGTACAGAAACGCCTTTCAGATACAATTTTATCTTTTTTTTTAATTCTACATGATAGAGAAATAAAGTTTGAAAAAATTATATCTTAATTGTTGATTTTACAGGCCACACATTTTTTAACCATTCTAGTTACTTAAGGGTGGTAATCAGAAAAGATCAGAGAAAGATTGCAGAGACTACAAAAAACACCACTGTATGATTCCAGAAGTAGAAAATGTAAGAAATGTCTGAAACTTTTGTTAAAAATTTGCAAACTTATAAACTAATGAGAGGAACGTTCGATTTTTTATAGCTAAACAATAGAAAAATATTTTGTGGCTTCAAATACGTTTCATTCATGTCTCGCTAGTTAGTTTAAATTAGTCTACTTATTATTATTTAGAGTAAGCAAGCACAAGATAACTGTGGAAAACAGGATGTCTTTATCAAAATACACTACGCCGGAAGCTACAAATATTGGCAGACTGGCTGCGATTCTCTTGGATCCCTGTACAAAAACATTGAGAGAAATTCTGAAGAGAGAAGTGTCACCTTCCGACTTGTCCAAGGAAGTCCAGGATTTCATTGATGATGCAGTAAAGCATAGAAAAAAATTTAAAAGACTTGATTTTAAACAGGAAAATATCATTTTTCCTCCACCCACTTTAAAATATAGGGGAGATTACACAGACTTAGATATATCTTTGTTGTACTACCTCCTCCGCAATATTTGTAAAAAGATATCTCCACCTTCAAAAGGATGGGGAAATATACCAGATCCCAAGGACAAAAGTATTGCCGCCAACATAGAAAGAATTCGAATGACAAGAAATGAATGCTATGGACATACCGCTGATCTCTCACTATCAGAAGCAGACTTTAACAGAAATTGCCAAATTCTCCGAGACGCTGTTGTGGAATTGGAGAAATATTTAGGTACAACTATATTTCAGGATGATGTAAACGAAATAGAGATGTGTTCAATGGATCCAAAAGAAACGAAAAAAAAAATTGATTTACTAGGAAATTTAGTAGACCTCCAGAAATCATTAGATGATTTTTTAGGTAATATTGTCTACTATCAAAGGCATGATTCAAATGATTGTAACAAAAAGAAAAGTTTAAACTGCTTTGATCAAAACGCTAGAAAAATTTTCTCAAAATTTACAGAAAAATGACTCTCAGTGATAGTTAAAAAGTTTGTTAAAAAGAACAGAAAAATATACATTTATTCATTATAATAATTTATTGAAGCATTTCTTTTCGTTTAGATCCCAAGGTTTCCAGAAAAATAGGTAAGGGAATGGTATATTTGTAAAATAATCTAATAAGAAATTATACAAACAATTTATTCAGAACTATCACCATATACAATTTCATGACCATTATTCATGGTTTAAAATAAGAAAACAAAAAATATTAATTTCATTTTAACCTTCGCCAATCTTTTATAAATACTTATCTTATCATAAAAAATGTCGGGATCATATTGAATGTTTACATTTGCAAATATTTTAGATGAACCTATTGGTGAGAAAATATGTTCAATTATGTATGAACTTATTCGAGGGTCAGAGGTCAACGCGTGACCGAAAAACAGAGCGAGATGAACTCTTGTCTACATATTTCTTTCACGGTTATAGAGATTCTAAGTAAAAAGCGATGAAAAGATAAAATTATTAAAAATCTACTACTTTTTAAAACTTAATGCACAACCATTCCCAACGATAAATTTAAGTCCAGGCTTTTTGATACCATTGACAGACGCTTTTTCAATAAAAATGGAACTCGTAAATTTACTTACCTGGTCATTGCAAGCTTTTAAGGTCATTTGCAAATTTATTTTCTTAAAAAACATTCTGATAGCACATACAAATACTCTGAGTATAACATCAAAAAGAAGCTTGAGTTTCTGATTGACAATATCTATGTAGTTTTTAGGAGACCAGGTCTTCCAATAATTTATAGGAATTCCCATGGGTACCAATTCACCCCGTTATAAGCACACATATGTTTGTATTCATATGAAGCAGAATTTGTGCAAAATCGTATGCGTGAAAAGAAGAAAACACTTGCTGCGGCCTTCAACTTGACAATTAGTCATATTGACGACATATTGTCAATTAAGAATCATAATTATCATTCTTATGTCGATATGATACATGTATATCCTGGTGAGTTTGAGATAAAAGATACCACAGAGTCTGACAAATCTGTTTTATATTTGAATATTTTACTTCAAAAGACGTTAATGGTAATCTAACAGCTAAGTTTTATGATATACGTGATGAATTTAACTTTTCTCATGATATACGTGATGAATTTAACTTTTCTCTCATCAATTTCCCTTACTCATACAGCAATATACATGTACCTTCATCACCTGATACGGAGTTTGTAATAGTGTAGATCAATTAATTCGATACGCAAGAACATGCTTTATATATGAACAATTTCTAAAACGAGGTAAATTATTGATCAAAAAGTTGCTGAAACAAGAATTTCAGCGGTCTCGTTTTAAGTCGCCATTTCGTAAATTTTATGGTCAATACCATGACCTTTTTAGCATACAACTTATCATTAAGTGAAGTGCTGACTGACGTTTTTCATAACCAATTGTTAGTCCATTTTTCATACATTGAAATTTCCCGATCATGTTTTGTATAGTTGAATCCACACTTTTCAAAAGTTATGTCCCTTGACCGCCATTTTAGGGGATAAACTCATAGAATCCTCACAGTACCCTTTGTAGGTTTCACGTTTGTAACTTTGTCATTAGACTGGGAAAAATCGTTGCATAGTTTATACTGATTGCCCACAATTTACATGTAAATACAGTAAATTTATCAAAGCCCATCCAAATGTTTGGTTTATTGTTTTATGGACTTCTGATCGTTATCTCCATATGTTTCATGGATTATTTTAAACAGATATTCAGTGGATCTTTTTGCGCTGAGAAGAATGTTCTGAATACTATTTTAAGCCTCAAATCACACTTACTTTTTTAATCCGAAATTCCTTTGAAGTTATATAAACTACACAGGCGATTCCAGTGCTTTTGTCTTCAAATATATCAAGAACTCAACAGTTTATTCTCAGTTGATCACGTACAAGCCATGTTCATTTCCAAGTGAATATTTTAACATTGTTGTTTATTTCTTACATTTACATTTGAGACGAATATTCCGAGTTAAACTGCGTGTGTTACACGAACAGGCCGCCATATTGCTATGTTGTGACGTGCATTGACGTAGAAGTTGTTTGTTAAAGTTCGCCTCCCTACAGATATTGACATTGGTGTTCTGCGGTCCAGTTCAGGAAATTTCTGTTTATAATGAAAGAACAATGATTCCTATTGAAAAAGTCCTAATATTTTATTAGTTCTTCATATTTATGAAGTCAAAAGTGGTGGTATCATCTGTTTTACTCAACATGACTTCAAAGGAAGTTAAAAAGGCTAGTTACAGTATTATATTTACATCCACTGAATATTTTCTTTTTTATTTCTTAAGAAAACCCATTGCGTTCATCACTGCATGAACTACATTAGGAATATCACCTGTACAGATTTCTTGATCAGTGACCGCTCCATCAATGAAACGTACAAAGACATTCGCATCATTAACACAATAATTAATATTTTTAATCCTACTTAAAATGTTAATTCAAACAAATATAAATACATGTATAAACAATAAAATGTCTTTACTGGAATGAACGGTCGCAGCTATTGCAGAAAAAATTTACATTACCCGCTTACGCGGGTTGTGTATTTTTTCTGCAACAGCTGCTTCCGTTCATTCCAGTAACAACAAACAAAGAAAGCAATATACATAAGAAAAAATACACAAGCTTTAATTAAAAGACAGTTTAATGGTGAATTAAATAAAGTATAAAAATTTATTTCAGTAAGTGTCAATAAAATCCATTTAAAAACGTCACTATCATATGTTCAGGTAATGATCAGCAGTGTAACGTACCCCCCCCCCCCCCTCCCTTCAATTAAACCTCGATCAACTAGTTTAAATGCTGAAGTTTTTAAAGTCTGGTAAATTTTTAATATTAATTTCTATCTAACATACAGACACACACAAAAAATTATTCAATTGACCAAAGATTTGTATTTACGCAGTTTAAAATCATTCTACTACAACACAGGTGTCAAGTGCAGTAGTTACAAAAATGGCAAATAAAGACAGGGGTGGGGTAATTGAATAAAGTAATTGTAGTTGAACGTAATTAATGACATTTTTCAAAGTAATTGAAAGTAATTAATTACATTTGAAAAAGTCAATATAATTGTAATTGCTAGTAATTGACAAAATTATCAATGTATTTGAAAGTAATTAATTACGTTTCAAAGTAATTGACCCCAAGCCTGAATAAAGATGCAAAATATACATAATGTTTACCAATTAATGACATTAAGAGTACATGATGATCCAACGTGTATCAATCAATTTATGATCACAAATCAAAAATAGCAATAAAACTCAATCCATAAGAGGACAAGACAAACAAGCGAACTGTAAGCACGTTGTACTATTGACTTGGGCAGAAACAAACAATAAAAAATACAATGAAAACGGCGGGAACGGATATTTCTGGACCCTCTCTGATTTTTGCTAGAAATCACTTCTTTTTAAAACAAATCGAACTGAATTTCAATGTTCAGGCCCAAAGGGCTGAAGGGGTAGGGCATGGGAGGGGGTGCCCCCCTCTTATAGGTAGGTGTTCGGGGGGCCTCCCCCAAGGAAATTTCTTTTAAATGGATCTAAATGGTGCATTTTCCAGTATTTTCTTCTTTTTTTTGGGGGGGGGGGGTATTTTTGCTCTTTTAAAGACCGATCATCACCAATTTTTAATAAAATGTTTTCAGTTTAATTTAACTTTAATACAAGAGTTTAGACTTTTCTTTTAAAAAATGGTTAAATCTGACAATTTTAGGATCACAAGCAGTTGACTTCAAGTTGTCTTCACTTTAAATAAACCTTCATATTAATTATGCAGCAATATACCTTCATCTACTGCATACGGAGTATATACAAGTATATATATCTCAGTTGATTTGATAGGCAAAAGCATGCTCTTAGTCTAGGTATGAACAATTTCTAAAACGAGGAAAATTATTGACAAGCAAGTTGATGAAACAAGAATATCAGCAGTCTCGTTTAAAGTCATCATTTCGTAAGTTCAATGGTCGATACAATGACCTTGTCAGCAAATACAATTTCAGTCAGATGCAGACTGACGTTTTTCATTCCAATTGTTAGTCCATTATTTATACACTGAATTGACGACGGATTTTTTCCGTTATTTCCTGATCATGACCAGAAGCACACGGCGGGTGTGACCGGTCGGCAGGGGATGCTCACTCCTCCTTGGCACCTGATCCCACCTCTAATGTTTTGGGGGTCCATGGGCTCCATATCCCTCCTTTAGTTGTATGTCAAGCTGACTTCCAAGATACAACTTATGTGCAATTTTAAACACGTTGAAAAAAAAAATGATTTTTTTAGAATCTCTAACTAGTGCTTTTCAACTTGAGTACACTGTCCTGTCAATATGATTTGGAATATAAACAGACATGTACAATAACCGTTCACGGTAGCTCAGTCGGTAGAGCGCTCGTTCCGTGATCGGGAGGTCGTGAGTTTGAATCTCGGCTGCGACTGACCTAAGTCGATAAAAAATGGGTAGCAACTGTTCCTTCGCCATGCACTCGGCACTTTGAAGTGAAAGTTGCGGGTCCTTCGGATGAGATCTTAAGAACCGAGGCCCCATGTCAGCGGCAGGCGTTGGTACGATAAAGATCCCTCACTGCTCAATGGCCCTGAGTGCCGAGTAAAGGACAAAATTTGAAGCCCTTTACCGGCAAACGATGACGTCTCCAAATGAGTGAAAAATTCTCGAGAGGGAGTTAAACAATATATACAATCAATCAATCACATGTACAATTCACAGGTACCTAGATCTTGGTTCATAAATATGTATGTACCTTATTGATATAAAAGTACTTTTTTTACATATCAATAAGTTACATAGGTATTTATAAACCAAGACCCCAGTACCTGCGGTACAATTAACGATATTTCAAACTGAGGAAAATATTACAGAAAGTGGAGAATCTGTCAAAACAAGAGGGGTTTGCTAAGCCAACCTGGTTTTGTAAAAAAAAAAATGTAGTAATTTGATTTTTAAAACGGTAAAAAGAAAAAAAACTGAATAATATTTTATTCACATAATTAAAAAAAAACATGCATTTTATCAGCAAAAGAATATTACTGAGCAGCGCTATAAATAGGCAGTTTTCTGTTTTTGGCACCTGACTATATTGTACTGTGATTTTGTGACTTCACTAGATGCACGGACTACCCGATCTTTGAGGTACTCTCTCTGTTGATTACCTCAATCGCAACTTCTCGGGCCTTTCCGACTCCCTTTTCATGATCTTTGAAATAAATGCATGGAGACCTTTCATCTGTGGAATATGGAGTTTAACATTATCCAATGTAGCTATTCCACCTAAAAATTAAAAAAGAGTTTTTTAATTCTAAAGCACAAAAATATTATTTGTATGTGTGTAACTTAGTTATAAATAAATAGATTTTCATTGGTTGTTTGCTAATTAATATGTAAATTAGATCCATATATAGATAAAATTACACCACTAATGTTACCAAAGAGGAATAACTCCAATAAAATTTAATAACATTTTGAAGGTAACTCTGTAAGGCATACCTTATAGTCTGCTTCAAAATGTGCTATAACTGTGATCCAATTTTGCTCCTGTGTCTAAAATAGGAATTTTCATTGTTAAGTAGAAACCAATATTTTTTCTAAATCAGCTCAATGTTTAATTTAAATTATATTAAAATTTTTTTTAAACATACCTTTGAAAAATAAATTCCCTTCTTTGATGTCTGTATTGATTTCTCTTTCTGTTAGCTCAAATATGCTGCTGTTCGTCTTCTCGCTATCATTCCAGTACAGAACCTGAAATAAATATATATAAAGATATAAGTATATATATTTATACTCACTTGAATGGTTTATAGTAACCCTGAATGATCCAATCATAATAATAGCTGAAACTCATTTATGTCTTATTCCTGATGTTTTTACTTTGCTTTCAAATAAAATTTCATTTACATCATTAAATAACATAAATACATGGTTATATTTCACAAAGACAAAAACATACAAGACAGAAACAACTGTTCATAATATGGTGTTGTACTTTATGCATAGTTATTTTTTAATGACCTATGAACAATAAGTTTTGTTACACAATTTTATCATTATAAATACAGTAAAACTCAGCAATATTGATTACCATAGTTTGCTATTTCTTTCTTTTTTTTTTTTTTTAAATTTATGCATTTCCAAAATTAATATCATTTATATAGCTGGGGAACCAAAACTAAATTTTGCATTGTACAGAATTTGCAGTATTTTTGGCAATAGTAAATGAGTTTTTCTGTAAGATTGGAAATAAATATATAAATTTTTCATGCATGCTGTGACATGCTTTCATAAAAGTATTGGTGTAAATATGCACCATTACAAAACCCTGCTAAGATCATTACATCATGCAATAAATTCCTTGTTTATAAACCCATTTCTATGAAAATGATATGGCAAATAAATCTGTCTTTAATCAATATAAATACATTATAAGAAAACCATTTGATTCCATGGGTTTTTAAACATTTACTTCATAATGTTAATTAATTAAACAAGATGTGAATGTTAAACAGTGAAATTAATAATATATCTCTTTTTAAAATGACTTTACTTTAAACACCCCATTGCTGTAGCTTAAAATCTGTCCCTCCCATTCAATGTCCTCTCCATTATCTGTCCATGTGTGTAATATTTGTCTGGATACAAAGTCCCTCGGGTTGGTGTTACATGCAATACTTTCTTGATATTCCTTTCTTTTTTTCAGTAGTGTAATCAAATTTTCTTTCAATTGTTTCTCGTCAAATACTTTTCCTTTTTTGCTAAAACACAATAAATGTCTAAATTCTTGTTCTACTTTAAAAACTTTCTTATAAATATTAATCTGAGTTTTTAACGCTGTCATTTTTTCCTTCTTTGTCTTTAAAATGCACAATTTTTCATTAATTTCAGTCTCTGAAGCCCATAATCCATGTCTGTGAATATCGTCTAACGCTTTGTCGATGGCATCATTTTTTCTTTCTTTCTTCTTCTTGTTCTCCTCTTCTTTTTCTTTTATAGTCTGCAAATGTTTGTTAAATAATTCTTCTTTCCTTCTCTTACTTTCAATTAAAAAAGCTCTACTGTCTTTTCTAGCTGTATTTACAATGTTCCTCTGTTCATTTTCACTTTTTTTTTCTACCCATTTTTTTGTTTTATTATTATTATACATTAAAATACTCTCAATTGTATTTACAGATGAGGTGGCAGCATATTTAAGTTTAAAATCTAACTGACCCATTAACCGTTCAATGGTTATATTATTTGTCGAACATGATGAACATTCTTTAAAAAATTCTGTTGAACATGAATTAAAATATTTTCCTCCTTCTAAAAAATCTGCAAACAACTTCTTTGCCTTGTCAATTAAAACACTAATGCACCTCTTAATAAAAACACATGTAAGGTCATCATTTAACGACATAGAACATAAAAAATCTGACACAGGGTCATAAAAATCTCGACCTTCAAACAGTTTGATTTCCCTTTTTAATAATGCTGAAGGGTTTTTATGAATAACATTTAAAACATATAAAAGTCTTTGATACACAGTGTTTATACTTGTAATATTCCATAACTCTAAAGTTTTCTGCCAGTATGGCTCAGTAATAAATTTACATATAAAACCAAGAGCTCTCAAAATTGTTAAAAATACTTTGCTTTGCAATGATGTAACAATTGCATTCAAAACAACATTAAAAGAACTCCTCGAGAATAAAAGATATTGTAAAAGAAGTTGATGCATAAAAAATGTACCAGCAGCATTATAAAAACACAAATTAAAACGATTTCCTCTTACATTCATCACAGGGAGTTTGTCTGTTCCGTGACTTTTCAAAAACACTCGACTAAATTTCGGATCACCTACTCCGTCTTTAAAAAAAAATTTTGAAACACTTCTTAAAATAAACATGACATAAGGATCTTTAGGTGTACTGGAATGTCCATCAAAATGAATATTTAATTCTTTTTCAATATTATAAAACTCTTGTAAACAAACATCTGAAAATTGTAAAAGAGGGTGCACTGAACATTTAAAAGAATGAACATCGTGAGAAATTTCACTAGATAAAATAGAATTTACTTTCTGTTCCGTGGAACTTCTATCAGTCATAAAACAAGATACAGATTCTAAAATACTTTTTTTATCGCTTTCTTTCTCTGAAATATCAGACAACATTTCTTTCGTACTATTTACATATGTTTCACCCTTGCCATCTGGCACTTCTCTGATTCCAGCAGTTAAAAATTGATTTCCAGTATTAAATTGCAAACCATAAAAATGTTTTCCCTTTTTAGTGGTGGCATCTCTGTGCATTGTAATGTTTTTACTATTTAAAAGCTCTTCTTTAACATGATTTCTAGATAAAACACCCATTTCACTTGATAAAACTGCTGTTGTACTCTTACTTGGTAAATTTTTTACATGAATATCAAAAATATTTAAAACAGCTTCAACAACAGGAGAAATATGCTGCACACCAATATTATTACTGATAAAAAAATAGTATAACTTTCTTAACTTAAAATTGAAAGGTCTGCCCTTTGATTTTTCTCTAAAATCTACATTTTTCTCAATATGTACAAATTCTGATGATTCTTTCATATCATCATTTTCATCTCTTTCTGCATTCAATGCATCAATTTCTTTTTTCAAGTCTTCAATATATGACTTTAAAACGTTGCACTGCACACCCTTATCAACTCTACTATATTTCTTTTCAGTTTCTTTTTTTTCAAATTCATTTACCTTTTCTTGTAAATGTACAACTTTCTCAGATTTTCTTTTAAGTTTCTGGTTCATTGATTTAACATTAATGTTCCTTAGTTTTTCTCTCAATTTATGGTTTTCTCTTTCAAGATGTTGAATTCTGATGCTTTTTTCAATATCCTGTAAAAGATCTGTTGATGAAGAAGTCGATGAGGCCACAAAGGTTGATGAGGATGCCAAAGTTGATGAGGCCGCAGAAGAAGTCGATGTTGACACAGAATAAGTCGACGTTGACATGGAAGAAGTTGATGTTGGCACAGAATAAGTCGACGTTGACATGGAAGAAGTTGATGTTGGCACAGAAGAAGTCGACGTTGACAAAGAAGAAGTTGATGTTGGCACAGAATAAGTCGACGTTGACACAGAAGAAGTTGATGTTGACACAGAAGAAGTCGATGTGCACACAGAAGAAGTCAACGTTGACACAGAAGAAGTCAACGTTGACACAGAAGAAGTCAACGTTGACACAGAAGAAGTAGATATGGACACTGAAGAACTCGATGTTGATTGAATATTTTTTTTACTAGCTGGTAATTTGAATAATTTGTTTCGAAATATGTTATATTTTTCCTTATTATTGTATTTCTTGAGTCTTTGAAGTTCTTTGAATATTTTTTGGACTTTCAAGAACAAACTTGACTTTACTATTGAAGCTGAATCCAACTGAAGGCAGTCACATATAGCCTTGCATGTATTTGCAACATTGCCTTCATTTTTTATGAAAATTTCACTCACATTCTCATTTGTTAGAGACATGGTGCATATGAATGTGCAGTTAATTAGAATTTTACCATATATATGCTGTATGAAGTGAACATAATGACAATACATTGATAAGCTTTACACATACATTTGCAACAGCACAAAAAGCATGACGACACAAACATTAAAAGCACACATAGAAATTTATTCTCTTTAGAGAAGTGGACATGCTTCGCCTACATCCTTTTTTCTTCACAGGTCTTCATTTATTGAATCTGGAAGACTTGAGGGTTTGTGAAGGAAAGTGGATGTAGGGCAAAGCCTGTCCACTTACCTAAAGAGAATAATAGAAAGTATGGTATTGTGATAATATTTACCTTGTATGGAAAATTCTTTCAGAGTAACTGCCACTTTCACAGATGATATGTGAACCTTAATAAAATAAATCAAATTAATTTTTCAAGGCATTACTTAAATGTATCTTAAACCAGAAATATTTTTTTTAAAAAAACAGACTATAATGGAAGGGAGGTAATAATATACTGAGCAAGCATCGAAGTTTACGTTTTTTATTCTAACCAAAAAAGCGCAACAAGTTTGCGCCTTTTTTAATATGCTAGTATCAAAATAAATGTATAATGTATCGCTTTACATAAAAAAATCACCGCAATCACATACCACAATTATATAAAATAGTGAAATACACCCCAATTACACTTCTTTCAACTTGCACGTGTATTCTTAAAAATACCTGTATCAACCAAATTCTAAACAATTTAACAACTGTCTATGCATTTTTTGTCATTAAAAAACGGAAAATTATTTAAGATCGAGATGACAGGGTTGTAATTATCACTTACAGATAAATCATTACTTACCCGTCTGCACTGACCCACAATCTCATCCAATATGGCTGTCAGGTAGTCAGCGGGAGTTGTCGTCCTTAGTGTAAAATGGCGTCAACTGGAATAGCTATCCAATGTAATGATATTACCTAAACTAGAGCCGAGCTCGTTGCAAAGCAACGAGTAGGTCTTCCGTCCTGTTTGACCGGAAGTAACTTTCATTTGAAAAAAAAGAGTAATGAAGTCGAAAAATGGTTTTATCCTCCAAATCTATGTTCATTTTTGCAAAATCAAGCCATTTTGGCAACTTTCGGTTTGACCGGAAGTACCGTCGACGGACGGAAAATTAAGATTTAAGCTTCCAGTGATATATGATATCCAAAAACCTGTCAAGAACAACAAAAATATGCAATTTTTGACTACTTCCGGTTTGACCGGAAGTGACGTCCCCGGACGTATTTTGACAACCTCATTAGATAAAGCTTGACATTTTGAACAACTTTGCTTATTTGACGTATTATAAATTCTCAATACTTTTTGAGATATTAAACAAAAAATTTTAAAGGGCCCCAGATCCCTAATTTTAGGGGCCAGCCCCTTTTTGATGATATCAAATGAAAGCGCTTGTAATCATGCACAACTTTTATTCAACATGTCTTAACAAAATATTTTTAGTTTTCAATATAAAAATTAAAATATCTGTAAATTTTCGCTCTTTTAGGCGTTCTAATTTTTGACCCCTATATGGCGCCATTTTGAATGCAGAAATCGAAAAACAAAAACCGATGTGCACAACTTCAATCCTTCTGTTATCTAAAACAAGTAAAATTTCTGCTCCAGCTTTTGTGGTCTCTGAGCCTTTATCCGGAAACGAAAGCCTATGATTTTTAGTTTAAAGGGGAATAACTCAAAACCGGAAGTGACTTTTTGAAATTTTAGTCATTATTCTGATAGAGTTTATAAACGTCTATAACCTTTGAAAATTTGAGCGAAATCCGTTGAGAAATGAGTGAGATATGAGGCCTCAAATTTGGCGTCTAGGAAGTAGAAGAAAAAAAAAGAATAATTAAGGTCTTCCGTTTCCAACGGAAGACCTTCTACTGATTCTGAAGATTAAGATTATTAAGGTCTTCCGCTCAGGCGGAAGACCTTCTACTGATTCTGATGGTTAAGATTATTCCTATTATTCTTTTTTTTTCCTAGACGCCAACTTTGAGACCTCGTAACTCGCTCATTTCTTAACGGATTTCGTTCAAATTTTCAGAGTTTTTGGACGTTACAAAATTCAATTTAAATGTTTTCATACATTTCAAAAATTCCCTTCCGCTTTTGAGTTATTTCCCTTTAAATGAAAATTTGGTGCTGTTTGTTTCCAGACAAAGGCTCAGAAACGACAAAAGCTGGAGCAGAATGTCTACTGCATTTAAAAACTAGAAGAATTGAAGTTGTGCACATCGGTATTTCTTTTTCGATTTCTGCGCTCAAAACGGTGCTAGATAGGGGTCAAAAATAAGAATGCCTAAAAGCGCAAAAATTTACATCTATTTCCTTATGTATCTTTTAAACTAAAAATAATTTGTTAAAACATGTTGAACAAATATTGTGCATAATTTTAAGTTCTATCTTTTGACATCATTAAAAAGGGGCTGGCCCCTCAAATTAGGGGCCAAGGGCGCTCGAAAGTTTTTGCTTTACAACTTAAAAACGGTAAATATTTCGATATGGTTATTGATTTGAAATGGGTTCTTTAGCATCTTATTGATCTCATGAAAACGTTATTTTGTTCAAGTAATGTTTTATTAGGTGAGCAGAAAACTTTATAGTCCATGTACAGGTAAGTGATTTTATACGGCAAGTGAAGAAGAATTCTATATGCGTACGCGTATAACACGTATAACTGAAATTAACTGGATAAGAATAATATACCTAGCTAAATTGAATGTTAGACTTTGTTGAAATAAGATTTTTAACGTATTCTCTAGCTGGATGTCATACAGATTATTCAGAGACAACCTTCTCCCTGTGTTTAGTGTAAAGAACAAGACGGAAGAGAGGAAAAATATTTTTAAGTATTAATATTCAATGTAGCATTATTTATTTTTTTAAAAATTCAAGCTTAAGATAATTCAATTCATGCATCGTGAATTTTCCTCGGACCCTGAAAGTTTCGTGTGTACATGTGCGTGTTTTGTGTGTACAGTTATCACATGGTTATGAAACCCGTTTATCGATCGCGCATTGACCTGTATACATTCCGGAGATCAACAATACCGCTTTTTGATTTTTACTAGAGTCCTAGATTTAAGATCAAGAAAACATGTCATTTGCGCTAATCGTAAGAATATTTCTATACACAAATTTTAAGGTTTTCTTGAAAATGATTTAAAAGTGTTGAATGTCGGATTCTATTCTTTGACGAATGAATAAAAGGTGCTGCGTTTACGCGCGCTTTTCTCATCTGCTAAGGTATCTATGGACAAGTTCATCGGTTACACTGAAGGGTGACACAGGATGACCTATCGATAACTCTGCCAATTTTGATAGTGATTTTAATTGCACATGTACCATAAACATGATTAATTAATGTTCAATTCTACCCTTGTGAAGCCCATTAAAGTCTCGTTATTTAAAAAAAATTGGGGATATCAATACTGCAACTTGTTTTTGATTTGTGCGGATGATTCTATTATTGATAAGGTACACACGTAGTACGACAATTTTTTAGACCCCGTCTCCCCCTCCACTTTGAAGTAATTGCAATCGTTACATGTATACGGGCCTATATCAAGCTATTCTAATTGCTTTATATCAGAAAAATTTGCGATGTTGTTTAAATTAGCAAATACATATAAACATTGCACAGTAAATTGTAAGTGGAAGTGACGTTTCCAATTCTCATGAAAATCGTAAATGAAGCAACTTTGAGTTTTGCATGAATTGATACATAACTTATAATTGCTTTGTACCGAATGTATTCCTTTTATTTCCTCGAATAAAAAGAATATCACTATGACACGATTTTACGGGTACATGATGGTAACTAAATACATGCTGTTTTACACGGAGGATCCCCCCAAATATATATTTTCCGAGCTTTCAGAATACGAGAGAAAAAAATGAATAATTAATTTTTCTTTTAACAAATTCAAAATTGTTTCTGAGAAAGCCATGTAGTTGCATACAAATATTCCAAGCCATTCTTTCGTGTTTATTGGACTAAAAGAGATAATTAAATTTCCTCTAATCGCGATACGTAACCCCCTTCCCTCAAATGATACGTTTTCCTTCAGAGTCGAGAATGTCAGTTGGTTAGTTTGTTCAGGTACGTACAGGTCAGGACTTGTGTTGAAATCCATGATTAATCCATAACCTATTATAATGTTAGCCAACAATCATACGCGACTTTTTTTATTTACAGGTCGTCAAATAAATGAAAAAAAAAAGATTAGTATGCGTCACTAAACTTTCCTGTATATAAACGTTTTAATTTCTAAAATTTGTGCCGATTAGAGTGTTCATTCGAGCATCGAAGTGTGTACATGTATTAGTTTCTTTGGGTAAGAGGGGGGGGGGGTACCAGTTTTTACTGCGTTTGATTTCCGGAATTTTGCATTGCTTTTCCGACACTTAATAATTTCATTTCTAACATTCATTATTTTCATTCTGGATTTTTACACTATATTTCAAGCGATTTAAAGTTAACAAAGAAGATGGAATCATTATTTTAAAAGAATATATTTGGTTAAATTAACACAAGTGAACTTGAAAACTTGAAGATGAAAATTTATTAAACGAAAGTCAAGCAATAAAAAGTTAAAGTTTGTTTTTTGAAAAATAAATCAAATCAAGTCACAGAAAACAAAGACAGGTTGTAAAGCTCACACACCGACACACACACAAACGTTTTAGTAACTCGGAATAGTCCAGAGTAAAACTATATTTTCTTGATGACAGAATGTCCAGTACATCTAATGTTCACGTCCGGGATAGTCCACGGCGGATCTAAAAACTCTCTCACACAACATATGGGATTCACTCAAATTTCAATAAACACATTTACGCAATTTATATTATACATACAAGTCATACGCTCTTTGATGTAGAGGATTGACACTAATTCCTTAGATAAATACTTAGTAACAAATTCCTTTTTACTATTTAAACTCAAATTGATAGGTTAATAACTTAAGCATATGTCAAAAATAAGCATTGAAAATAATTCTTTTCATAAAATTGAATTTTGTTTAAACAATATAAATCACTAGCAGCGCAAAGACAGACTTTAAAAAAAAAAATCAGAGGTGGAATCAGGCGAATTAAATCTTTTTATGGCACTACCAACCCCGTAACGAGACATCTCATCGAAATGACCGGTCTCCACGTCTTGAACCTCCAAGAACATGTATTGCATGTTCTTGAATAATATGTATTAATAAGTCTTTAAGGAAATCTCATGTAGGAAACCTGATTAATATTCTAATATATTCTAATTTTTTTTTAAATTATTCGTACTTCTCAATCTATCATGTTCAAATTACACGTATTTATTTTTTAGGGAACATTAAACCTTATTCGTCAGCCAGTCTGTCCATCTGTCACGAAAACTTTAAACTTGATAATAACTATTGAATGAGTTGAAATAGGACTTTGATATTTCACATGTGCATTATTTGTGACATCTGATTTTCAAATATACTGTGATTTTTGACCCTTTGACCTTGATCTTGGAGCTTGACTTACTTAAAAAAAATAACATTACTTTAAATTGACCATAACTTTTGAAAGCTTCCATTTTATAAAAATGTATTAACTGTGACAACACCTTTTAAAATTCACTGATTTTTTACCCTTTGACCTTGAAGTTTGACCTGCTTTTCAAAAACATTAACAATACTCATACCTTTTGACTGAGAAGAGATAGGGCTTTTATTTTATCCCTATGAATTACCTATGACAACTCTTTTCTAAATACATTGACTTTTGACAACTTGACCTTGAGGCTTGATCATAACTTCTTAATGAGGAGAGATAGGGCTTTCATATTACAAAAACATCACAATGTCATGTACGTAACCTGTGATAAAATCATATCAAATACTAGTATATTATGAACTTTGACCTTGAAGTTTA